TGAGTTAAAAACAATAGCCGCTAAAGTGTAGACAGTCAAATTAAGTTCCTAAAGTTCATACTGTTTTGTCTACATATTTCAGGCCATCTGCAGTAATGCAGCTGTCTATCCTGGCTGCAGCAATGCTTTGTTGTTCTCAGCCTTTACATGCCGTGTCCTTACCATAGCGCTTCAATTACTTGCTTCAGGGGGCAATTATACTGCAGGCCTCTCTATTTCCAAACTCAATGTCGCACTTTCGCTTTCACACACATTCTGCAATGTAAAGGCTGACATCAAGGACAGAGCAAGATAACCACAAGTAACCTTGCAAAAGCTAAAAAAAAAAAAAAAACAGCATAGCCATGAAGAAATATCTACTTCACAAGGCAGCAAATTCCAAAGAGTTTTAACTGCATGTTCACCATCCTTTCTAACCCTCCAAACACACTTTCCTCCCCTCTATCTGCTAGCATCCTGCACTTCCTCCCTCCCTCTCCCTCTATTCCTCTCTTTTTGGGCTCGGGGACAGTGGAGTGACTTTGAAGTTGTGATGCTTCAGGAGGAGAGCGAGTCACTCTAACTAATTAGTCAGCCTTACAGCATAAGCCACCACCGCAGCTCCCCGGCTCAGAGGAGGAAACAGAGCAGGCATCTTACAGCAACCACCAACTGCTGCGTGCTAAAGATACCCTCCTCCCTTTGCTAGTTGTTAGCGCTAGCAGCTAGCAACAATTTCACTCACCCTGAGACTAAACTGTGGATTAGTGGAGTTGCTCCACTCAGCATAATGATCAGTAATACACTGTGAAAAGTAGTACAGTGAGTCCTCTGCTCTCGGGGAAAGCTTGTCAGACCAAATGTTGACTGCAGTGTTGAGATTCCACACTAAGTCTTTTTTTTTTTATACCATGTCAGCATCATCAATATGACTACAACTTTGAGAATATGTGCTTGGTAGCATTGCAATGACTGACTCAAAGTGTTTCAGAGCTCAGGGGAAGTGTACTAAAGGCTTTAGGCAGAGGGAGTAACGGATGCTATAATAATCTGATAAAAGTAACACAAGTGCAGGGGAAAGACAGTAGTAAGTAACTGAATGAACATAAGGTAGGTACATAGGCACTTTTGCTATTTTACAAGTAACGTGTAACCCTTTTAGGCAAATTTGCATTGAAGAAAAAGTTTCAAAATAGTGTACTTCTAGTCAGTTTTACTAAAATGTCTTCCTTGTTTAGACTTTTAGAAATGAGCTTCTTCGTGTTATACAAAGATAAAACATTCATATTTACAATATTCATATGAGCATTGCTGAGAAAATGTGTTGTTTTGGCAATGGTACCATAAACCTGGCATTATACTCACAAAAGTATTTTAGATGTACACCCAGCTCTGCTTTTCAGTTTTACATAATCCTCTGTGTTTTGACCCCATTTTATTTCTCATAATTCTCATGACAGCAGCATTTATACTGCAGCTTCATTATTTTTGAGAGCGTGCAAACATCCAATGAATTTTAGGAATAAAATGGTTCATCCTGCACTTTGGCCTTCTTATGGTGAAAGGCTGCTAAACATAATTCTCATAATATTTACTTTACTCACTGTTCTATGTGATCATCTATATGGCAAAGATTCAGCCGTTCCCTATGCGTGAATGTCACATTGCTAGTTCGATTAAAAAAAAACCCTCACTCCTGACAGGAAATGTGTGTAGTTGTGGTGTACCTACTAAAGCGTCTGTGTTATCTTGTCCCAGCAGGGCTTCTCACAGCATGTCCACCTCTCTCTCCTGAGCCCTGCTCTCCTTTGCCCTCTCTCTTTCTCTCTCTCTCTCTCTCTCTCTCCCTCTCAACCCTACAGCCCTGTGGCACAGAGACATGGCAGAGAGACAGAGAGAGAGAGAGTTGGCCGAGTTTCAGGAACATTAAATACTCCCTCTAGATACACACATGCCCACACGTACAGCGTTGTTTCTGGGCTTCTCCTTGTATCAGATCACTACGCTCCATTCTGTTTGGCCTCAGTGCCAATGACTGCTGACATACTGTCATATGTGCACTGACTGTTTTTCTATTTCTGTCTGTTTTTCTCTTAACATCTGAAACATGACAGACAACCACTTCCCAATGATGGACTCTCTTACCACAATTCAACTAACTTCATTGCGAGATTTTCTACTTAGGGGTGAAAAAAAAAAAACATGGGGCTGCACTTGCTCTTTGAAGTAGTGAAGGGTAACTCCTTGGTAACAAACTGACAGAAAGTTCATAGAAGAATTCATTATCCAAGACAAATCAATGTCTCGCTGGTCCGTGGTGTCGTAGCCCGTGGGTCTGAGGACTAAAGAGTTCAACATTAGTTATACAAAGTTCAACACACAGAGAGCAGAAGAAAAGACCCTTTTGCCAGCCAGTCTCAGACAATTAATTCAACTCGTCTCCTCATCCCCACAGACCCAGACTCCCAAGGCCAGTCAGAGGAAGGACAGACGAAGAGGGATGATATGTGTCATGGTGGATGTGTTGGTGCACATACATATGAATATAAGTGTGTGTTTGACAGAGGTTCCCACAGTCTTATGAACTCGTATGTGTGTATCTCTAAGTGTATGCAGGAATATGTGTGTTGTCAGCTTAACGGCACACACTCAAACACACACACACACACCTGTCCAGGAGAGTCAGATTCTCCCCTAATGGCACCATGGGGACCCAAGATATTAGCATATTAAAAGGTGACATTTCACAGTCGTCAGAGCCTTGCAGTGGAGTTCACCTCGATGACTCTGACAGTCTGACAGCCACACAGGCAGGACAAAGAACAGACACAGAAGACTGTGAAGTCAAACACTATGTGAAAATGGGTGAAATGGCTGTAAATCCACTGACCATCCATTGAAAACCTCAATAATAGTGGTTGATTCCATGTAATCTAAGATTCGACCAATTATATGTTGAGTATATCCAAAAACTAGAGGAAGCATACAAAAAGGAGTTTCTCATAACTTATGGAATGGAGAGCTCATGTAATATTACTGTGGCTTGAAAGAGCTGCAATGTAAAAATCTAAATATATTTACACTGAACATCCACTGTATGTGTGTTTTCAGTATATCGATCAGATTTCACAACCCCTTGAAGAACTGAATCTCACGTGTTAGGAGACACAAGTACAAACAAACTCATACAGTCAAGCACACCATTTCAGTGAAAGAATGTATTGTATGTGACAATGTACACGGTCACTCACTAAAACAAGCAGAGATAGAAAAAACACACACACACACACAATGCACACCTTTGAATATGACCAAATTGGAAGCATTAGATTCTTTAAATTAAAAGGAACTCAGTAGCCCTTGGCTGACACATTATTCCATCCCTACTGTCACATGCATGAACAAATGCCTGCTGACACACACACACACACACACACACACACACACACACACACACACACACACACACACACACACACACACACACACACACACACACACACACACACACACACACACACACACACACACACACACACACACACACACACACACACACACACACACACACACACACACACACACACACACACACACACACACACACACACACACACACAGGGCTAGCAGTTAAAAGAAGTGTGACAATGGCAGTTCAGTAATTGGCTGTGAACTGCAGCTTCAGCAAAGTCTTGGTCCTGTCGGAAACCTGTCAGCGCTTGGCATCTGCTTCTATCATTTTCCTCTGCAGGGCAGCACAATGTGAACCACCTGGGCCGGGCACATTATCCTGCTGTCCTCCCCTCTGCTGTCACATGTTTCAACACTTCCAGCAACTCCTTCCGCTAAAACTAATAATACTTCTGTCAGAGCTGGGGCAAAAGAAATGACCTGTCTCTCCCTCGTGAAAGTATCAGACTGCATGCCGAGCAGAATAAGAGATGAGAAGAGAGCATCTTCTTGAGAAAGAAAGCAATGAGTGGGAAAAAAAATTCAGGAGACACTGAACCAGCAAGAAGCTGATTAATACCGACTGTTTATCAAACAGCAATATCCACGCACAGAGAGCTTTTCATCTAAAGTCTAATGAGGCTGCTGCAGAATTGATGCAAAATGGAGGGATTTTCCATTTGCAGATAACCTGTGCGGTGAGTAAATGCACCCGTTTCACACTTTCCGGCTCATAAGCAAACAATTACAGTGGGCACTCCTCTCTGCGTGTGTCCTGTGAAAGACAATTTGCAGGTTGCAGCATCTTGTTGTGCTCCATCTACATGCTCTCTTCGGTTTCCTTTAAACCTTTCCATCAACAAGAAGGCCAATTTTGCTGCATGCCAATTTTGAGCAGGCACAGAATTGAGGTGCCCAGCAGGAGCCCTGGGACATAATAAGAAAAAAATCCCTCCTGTATCCTTCAAAAAGAGGCTACGTGGGTAACAGCAAAATTATAAATAGGAGTGGGTGACCCAGAAGATTTTGAAGTGTTCCATTGTGAGGGCATAGCAATTATTGTTGCCAAAACCTGATTTATTTTTTAGTTTTCTTTGGCAGCTCCAACACCAAGCAGGTGAGCCAATCAGCTGACTTCCCTTGTACAACATTTAAAAAGGACGAACAGCTGCTTCCAAGAGCCACAGCCACTAACTCAGCCCAAGGTTCCACTTTTTACATGACTTATTATGATAACAATTTTACAAAATCAGCTTTTGATTTATGAAGCAATTTAAAATCCACTCAGCCAGTCCATCCTTCTAATGTTTAAAATGCTTGCTGGCAGTCGGCCCAGATTTTATGTGTAATAGCGTTGGCTCTTTTTAAGGTGCATCGCTTCTCAATCACCGTACAATTCTTAAGTGTTTTTTCAGACAAGCTATGCTGGGAGAGAGGAAGGATCCTGACCAAAGATCCTCAGCCAGACTTGAAAAGGGACATTATGGTTGGTGAACAGAAGACAGATATTCAACTTTCTTTTCTATGAATACACAGGTAAACTTAAGTACAACATAAAGGTGTTAACGTACCTTCATTAGTACTGACTCGCTGAGTTTCTCACGGTTGACGATCTTAATGGCGACTTTCTGGCACGTTACACAGTGGACTCCAAGCTTCACCAACCCTGCAGACACAAACAGGAAAAACACATTGTTAGGTCGTATAGGTCACACATTTCCAGGAAGTCCAAGAAGTAATCGGAAAGAAACTGATGCATACACATGCACTATGCAGAATGTACTAGTGCATTTTTTAGGGAGCACAGTGCATGGGGAATTTAAAATAAAGTGCAGGAGAAGAGTTTTATTTTGTCTTAGCACTATAACGCATTAACCAGACTGATGTAAAATGTCTCTGGACCTCATGTACAGAACGCTGATAATGACTTTTGAGCTGACAGTTCCTCACACAAACTGCCCTCTGGGGTTTATTTGAGTCGTAAAGGCAGTAAGTGAGTGAGCCATTTGTGTTATTGATTCTCATAATGCACTAAACTGCTGTGATCCAGTCATGTTGAGTTAGCGCAAACAGACAATAAAAATGTAGTGGTGAAAATACCGACATCACAAAGCCAAAAGGTCAGCTGCTGAATCAGAGTCAGTATTGACCAGGGCACAAAACTGACAAAACCAAAGCAACAGCGAAGCAAACTGTAGGAACGTAAATAGAGATGTGACATTTAAAAGAGCCTACACGTTCCCTTTTCTCTACAATACAAAAAGAAACCATCACACAACATAAATCCTGTGATTCATACAGAACCACAAAATCTTCTCAGCCTTGCCTTTAGAATATCCTCAGGTATGCCTTCTGTAATGATGAGCCAGAAACACTGTAGAACAAAAGCAAGGATACCCCTATGAGTGTTCAAGTACAGTGGAACAGAGTGGTATTTATCTCTATCTGATACATGGAAGAGCCATGAAGACAGAACCAATCCATTTTCAGGCAGGGTGCCACAGAGCTGCACACATATAACAAGGATGTTTGCATCAGATAAGTTTCTCACAAACCGAGACGAACACATCCATACACAAACAAATGTTGGTTCTTTTTTAATGATTTTCCCATCGTCTCCACAGCGCTGCAGGGATTTGGAGACTTTGTAAACAACAGCATTTGAGCTCTCTTATGGTTTGCATTTGCACACTGGATTTACAGACACACAGAAGTGGAATACCATCAAGATGTTTATTTGTTACTCTTTTGCAGGGAAAGGTGGAAATAATGGGAGTAAGTTGATACCTGTTACTAAAGTGTGCATGGGACAATAATGGTACAGCTTCTATAAGATGCATGTCCATGGAGAGAAGTAAATGTCTTCTTTCAAACTTCTGTCTAAATGACATTAAACAGACCGAGCCTCTAGCTCACTCTCCCACTTTCTATCACACTGTTTTATTTCTATATCAACCAGCACAAGATTTGAGGAGGCGGCAAAAACATGGAAACCACAGAAATGTCAAGGGGGTGAGCGCGATATGGAGGAAAGAAGAGAAGTAAATAGAAAGTACAGATGAAAGATGAAAAGGAAAAGTGCAAAAGATTGTGAAGCAGTGATGGAACATTATTCAAATGGCAGGCCACAGATAATTAAGCAATAATGGAGAGCAATGTGTGGGAGTGAGGCTCTGGCTTGGGAGTTGAGGGGCCGCGGGGGCCGAGAGTAGAGACACATGGAGGAGAGGAGGCGTGAGATAGAGAGAGAGAGAGAGAATGACAGAGCAAAACTAAGAGAGATGGAGCAAGCAAATACTAAAATGAGGAAGATAAAAATTAAGAAAGATTTAGAAAAGAGGATGAAACAGTTGAGCATGAGGGGGAACAACAGACAAACCCATTAGCCTTGTGATGGTAATCATATGTTAATGGCTGCAATAGAGAAGCTCATAAGTCACGATAAACACATTAAAGACAAAAAATATCTGCCTGCAAACATGTGAAAAGTTAACTGAATTATTTGTCTCTCTATCCATCTTCTTCCGATGCCTCGGTCTCTGTTAACAGACGTGCATTAGCAAGAGGGAAATGAGCACGGAAAGCCGGCACAATATAGTTTTACAACCACTTTGTGTATGGACTAAAATGAACTCATACAAGGAAGTTCATAAGGAAGGACATAAGAAACAAGGCCTTTTTTACTACATACATAAACATCACGGCGCCGAACAATAAAACTAATGGTCATGGCAAACACGTTTCACTTACAAGCATTATTCATGAAATGCAGCCACAAAAATAAAAGTACCTCATTAGCCCACATGTCATTGTCTATAAAAAATGCCTTTAAAAGTAACTGCTACATACTCAAACCTATACAGTTGTGCTCATAAGTTTACATACCCTGGCAGAATTTGTGATTTTTTTGGTCATTTTTCAGAGAATATGAATGATAATACAAAAATGTTCTTTCACTCATGGTTAGTGGTTGGGTGAAGCCATTTATTATCAAACAATTGTGTTTGCTCTTTTTAAATCATTGTAACAACAGAAACTACCCAAATTACCCTGATCAAAAGTTTACATACCCTGGAGGTTTTGGCCAGATAACATACACACAAGTTGACACACACGGGTCTAAATGGCTACTGAAGGTAACCTGCTTCACCTGTGATCTGTTTGCTTGTAATCAGTGTGTGTGTATGAAAAGTCAGTGAGTTTCTGGGCTCCTGACAGATCCCTGCATGTTTCGTCCAGTGCTGCACTGACGTTGCTGGATTCCGAGCCACGGGGAAAGCAAAATAATTATGAAAGGATCTGCGGGAGAAGCTAGTTGAACTTTATAAAACAGGAAAAGGATATAAAAAGATATCCAAAGGATTTGAGAATGCCAATTAGCAGTATTCAAACTCTAATTAGGAAGTGGAAAATTAGGGATTCTGTTGAAACCAAGCCACGGTCAGGTAGACCAACAAAAATTTCAGCCACAGCTGCCAGGAAAATTGTTCAGGATGCGAAGAAAAACCCACAAATAACTTCAGCTGACATACAGGACTCTCTGAAAAAAAGTGGTGTGGCTGTTTCAAGATGCACAATAAGGAGGCACTTGAAGAAAAATGGGCTACATGGTCGAGTCGCCAGAAGAAAGCCATTACTACACCAATGCCACAAAGCAGCCCGCTTACAATACGCCAAACAGCACAGAGGCAAGCCTCAAAACTTCTGGAACAAAGTTATTTGGAGTGATGAGACCAAAATGGAACCTTTTGGCCACAACCATAAACGTTACATTTGGAGAGGAGTCAACAAGGCCTGTGATGAAAAGTACACCATTCCTACTGTGAAACACGGAGGTGGATCGCTGATGTTTTGGGGATGTGTGAGCTACAAAGGACCAGGGAACTTGGTCAAAATTGATGGCAAGATGAATGCAGCATGTTAACAGAAAATACTGGAGGAAAATTTGCACTCATCATCCCGGAAGTTGAGCATGGGATGTACTTGGACGTTCCAACATGACAATGATCCAAAACACAAGGCCAAGTCGACATGTCATTGGCCACAGCAGAAAAAAGTGAAGGTTCTGGAGTGGCTATCTCAGTCTCCTGACCTCAATATCATTGAGCCACTTTGGGGAGATCTCAAACGTGCAGTTCATGCAAGACAGCCCAAGAATTTACAGGAACTGGAGACTTTTTGCCAAGAAGAATGGGCAGCTTTACCATCTGAGAAAATGAAGTGCCTCATCCACAACTACCACAAAAGACTTCAAGGTGTAATTGATGTCAAAGGGGGCAATACACAGTATTAAGAACTAGGGTATGTAAACTTTTGATCAGGGTAATTTGGGTAGTTTCTGTTGTCATTATGATTTAAAAAGAGCAAACACAATTGTTTGATAATAAATGGCTTCACCCAACCACTAACCATGAGTGAACGAAAAGTTTTTGTATTATCATTCATATTCTCTGAAAAATGACCAAAAAATCACAAATTCTGCCAGGGTATGTAAACTTATGAGCACAACTGTATAATCTACATTTTGAGAAATGCTTTTTAATAAGTATAACTGACTAGCTAAAGCAGCTCTGTATGGCTCTACATGAAGGCACATAGGTAGCTAACATGGTAGCAATGGTGATGATGGTAAGCAGGTATGATGTCTGCCATAGTTCATTGTGCAAACATTTGCTCTGGAGGTTAAAACAACTAAAGTAAAACCCAACATTTTAGAATGTAATTAGCTTTTTACACATTTGGTCATAAAACCTAGTATCAGATAAATTCAAATTGTAACCAGCTTGTCGCTCTGAAAAGAGTTTACCAACGTTATAAAATGAATCCTGTTGTAAACATGAATGTTACCCTAAACTTTGTGGCATTTGAACCATAGACTGTATAAAGTGAACATGAACATAGTCTCAGCAGTGTCATCCATTGGATCCTGAATAGGTGTAATTGACTTACTGGAAAATGCAATCTCCACCTCACTTTCTGGCAATCTAGAGAAAGTAAAAGGGGTGGAACTGCCACCTGGCAAACAGTTACAACGTGCCCACCTGTGAGTCAACTCAGTCTCGCTTATGCCAATTTATACATAACTCTTAGCTTTAACATAATCAAAACAAAAAAATCACTCACTGTACAGTTTTTAGGAATAAAGAAATGAGCTGTAGAGATCAGATGGTAATGTACCAGGCTGTAGACATGTTTATTTCTGTGTGTAAAATGGGCAATTTAATATGGGACCTAATTGGAATACCATGACTTTTGCATAAGGGATGCAGTTTTTTTTACACTTCTGCACTGGCTTAAAATTTCATACCACAGGTTGGCACTTGGTTGGGAAAAAAAATACCCCAAAAGTCAACCTGATTGCATTGTTTAAGGTTATCACCAAAGACTGAAGATCACAAAAGTCACTAAACTTCATCCTCAGCAGACAATGAACATGATCATCTGTTTAAAAACATATAATCCATCACACAGTTGATGAGATAGTTCAATCTGAACCAAACTGAGGGACAGACGCTGCTATCTTTAGAGCTGTACTACTAGCCCAACTAAATGGTTGTATTTTAAAATCAGGCATAGAAATATACTCCCACTTAAAAAAAGCCAGCATGTCATCTTGTGTGGGTACTGTGTGCACACAGCTGATTGTCAACCCACACTACGTAATTA